AAAAAAAAAAAAAAAAAAAAAGTGAAGCAGAATCGCTTTTTATAATAAGGCGTTCGCTTTTTCGCTTTTTTCGCTTCTTCGCTTTTTCGCTTTTTCTCGCTTTTTTCTCGCTTCGCTCACGTTCGCTTAGCCTGGGGTCCTCCAGGCGAGATAAGCTCGCCTCGCCTCGCTTCTCACCTAGGCGAGCTTTTCAAAACACTGCAAGATGCAATCAGCATACCTTCAAAGGTCCCAAGCTTTGCACAACTTCATATGGTTCCTAAGTGTCTGTTTATGTTGTCCATTTCTATAAGATTGTAAGGCGAAGATAGAAATCTCATATATGACAAAACAGTACATGATTCATACAGATGACATGCTCTACTGATTATTCAAGCATTGCTTAAAAGAAGCCAATGGGTGATGCCTTGATCACAGCTGATAGAAGCTAACCATGAACAGTGAGTGATCACTGTTGCACATTAATAAATACAACCTAACATATATGAAACAATTTGACGCATAAAGCAATTCATAAACTAATTCTATGCCGGCCAGCAAGCAAAGGAGTAGCACCCAGCAATCAATTAATCTTAGTCGGAGATTATGTGGCAAAACACTGGTCAAGGCATGTTCCATCAGCCCTGGGTGTGGACTAGAACAAGAACCACCTTAGCTTGCCCTCAACACTAGCCATCAATCAAATCACTGTCTATGGACATCCACAGCTGACATTAGGATGCAAAGCATGATACCCACAGGTATATACCCTTCTCTTAGGATGGGATCCCATGGGTTCTACCTCTGAACTAGACAATGATTGAGGATTAGATCCCACATGTTGCCGTAGAAAATGAACATTTTTGTCATGTAAGTTGTCAATTACATAGACAGACATCCAAACGAGTGGTGTACAAGACAGAAATTGGTGAAGGCTGAGCCCCCTCATCTAAATGACTACCCAGAAATAGGGCCCTGCAGCACCATTGGGGCTGATACATGGTTTAAGGATGAAAATCTGAAAGAAGGAAAATTGGGGGCATTTGCAAGAGCAACATACACAAGCCTGATGAAAACATTATAGATAGAGACCAGCAACTGCAAGTTTCCAACAATGTTCCTTTGTTTTCCAGGCCAACCAAAAACACTATTGTAGATAAACCCAAAACAGTTTTGTAACAAGTTTCATTTAAAAGTCAGTGCTATACCAAGAGATTCATAAAAGAAATGAAATAAAAGTTAACTATACCAGTGATATTAAAATATGGAGAAGTTTCAAATGAAGGTGTGCAACAGGAAAACAAATCTTGCCTGTTGTTTCTTAAAGCAACCAAGCTTGCAACTACATCAGCAGAAAGAGCATAAATTGGACCATAAGCATGTAGAAAGTACTCCTTCCCAAGCAAATATGATAGTGGCTCATACCTGCAAGAAGTGAACTGATCTGATCACCTACTAGTAAAATTAACAATATCTAAATAAAATGGGACCAAATTTCTCGTTGCCATTAGCACCATCCACTCAGAACTAATGTATTTCTGCAGGGGATAAAAACTTAATAAACAGGGAAATATCTACATGCATCCCTCTTAAAGCTATATAGTATTACCTCCCTCAGGATGCTCATAATCAAAACATGCTCAATATTGCTTTCAAAATCCTACCCAAAGGTGGCCAGAAAAATTGGTCAACCCATTACTTTTCCAGACAGCCACCACTAGTCCCCCTCCAGAATGCTGGGAAGTGTGTATGGCTAAATCCAAACAAAACTTCTTGCATCATGCAGATTTCCTTCTATTCATACTTGCAATCTTATGGGCTAATTCTATTAGCTCGAACTTTTAGCAAGTGTGATAATAGGCCCTTACATTTCTCCTGAGAATCCATCATATTCTCTACAAATCTCTATTCAAATTGTTCTGGAGCTTCTTTCGTCAATCAAAGAAAACGGCAGAGTAATTGTAGCAGCAGACACATATATCATTACTACAAATTGAGGTTCTCACAACTATGGTTATGATTGCTTGCCATTGACACACGAATGTATAACACCCAAAAATATGGGAAAGTCCTTATCTCTTCAAAAATTATTTTTTTTTCCTTTTTGCAGGCAATCCAAAAGACATTTTATTTTCTAGAATTTTGATATACACAAATATCTAGTTGAGATGTAGCTTAAAAAGGAAAATCTTTAATATCAGGTAAAGGGGGATTATGCCATTATTTGATGACTTCATATTTTTTATGCATGTAAGGTTCAGATGATCATGACATAATAGCCAAAATAAATGTAAACAGCACCTAGGTAAACATTATAGGAACGACCATTTGAGCTTTGGGTCAGTGAACACTGGACCCTTTTTCATGCATCCAAGGTACATTTGAGAGTTAGAACGCTCTTTAGCCAAAAGCAGTGAAAGGCGATCTGGCAAAGCAGAATAATAAGGTAGTTGCATAAAAAATATCAAGAATAAAGCAGGTGAAAATACACGGCATAATCTTCCCAAAACTACTCACCTGGCCTCAGATATATGTCATCATCCGCTTTAACATAGAACTCTGAGTCGAAAATTGCGTAGGCAGCTTTGAAGTAAGCTAAACTGTAGTAGAGACAGAATTTATTCTGAATGACAGTCTATAGGTATTAGGTACTGATGTCTTATACATAAATACTGTCAGCACTAACGTTTTGTATGGGAGCTTACTATACTCCTCAATATCTAATAGCATGAAGTCATCATATTCAGCTACCTCCTTTCTGTGCTCTGTCATCTTCGATTTATCACTAGTTCTACCAATTACAAATCTGATGACCAAGCCAGTGGCTTCTTCCAACCTGCAAATCCATAACAGGAGAGTGGTTAGGAAAATTGTACTAGCATCGACAAGGTACAAACTAGGTACAAACTAGCGACAAACTACTACAGGGTAAACCATTGCAATTATTCTGCCATGTGAAAATTCCTCAAACAACACTAAGAGCAACTGCACTATCAGTCTTATTAAACCACTTGCAAGGACAATTCTGCCATCCCTCTTCACTTTCATTTTCCTCTCTTTTGGAACTGGAACAGAGGTTCCTCACTCCTTGTCCGTGCTGGCAACATCTTAGCTATATCCAGCACTATAAGTTATTAGCCCCACAACAATATACTTGATGGGAACCCAACAATCTATCATCCCTCTGATTGCTGCTGATAGTGCCGGTGACATCGCATCTTGTTTGGACCATCATAATATCTCGTTCCCTTTATCAAATCCAAGGATCATGATCACCAAAGGCTGCAAGTGCTTTCCAATGACACCCTGATGACGCTTGCTATGCCATTCTTTCCAAAAATTTCAATTTTCCGATCATCCTATAAGTCCAACCAAACATGAACACTACTAACTCCCTCAATTACATTAACCCCATGTTGGTATGGTTCTCATTTGTCTAGTTAAGGCAATTTTAGAAAATCCTAGGTGAGATGAAGACAAGAGAATTTTTATTTGTATAAGAGCAATAGCTAGTTATACTAACTATAATTAAATAAAATCGAAATAAAAGATTTCCAACTAGAATTAGAGCAAGAGGGGGATGGTCTTTTTGAAAGCAATAGATCAACCTTGTACGACAAAGCTGAAACTGCATTAGAGAGACAGACTTGATCAGATCAAGGGATTAGTCAGGTCTTTTGGGTTGTTTATCTTTGTCTTCAATCTGTTCTAATTTTCTATTTGGGCTTTTTCTTTGTTGGCCAGTCATGTAATTCTGATTGTATGTAAATTTTGATTTGTTACACTTCGACATTTCAGGCATGCGAGTTCAAGTGAGTCATAGGACCATTTAACAGTAGAAAGCAAGCAAACTTTTTTTCCTCAGTATAAGTTAGCAATGATTCAAAACCCAAAACCATATGTATCAACGCTACATACACAATCATATACAAAATGGAAAAAAATGTATACCGTTGAAGCCCTTTTCGATCCGACGGCATCCAAGTCTAGCGTAACGATCGCCGTCTAGCTACCGATCCAAACCCAGTGAAAATCCCCACAAACCCCATCACCTTATACCTCTTCTGATCCCCATCCGAAACACCACCGTTCTGATTTCCTCCATTACTACTTTTCTCCCAAACCACAGACACAGATCTGGGTTTATCGTATTTACATTTGTACCCGGACAGACTATGCCCCAAAATTGCGATGGATCCATATACGAACCCGGCAAGTCCGATCAGGAAACAGAGGATCAGGCTGATCTGCGAGTGTAGGACGCAGTACGGGTGGAGAAGAGCTTGGGAGAGGAAGGCATGTCTAGGGGGAACTAGATTTGGAATTCAATAACCCTAGAAAAATCTACTCTGTGGTTTTTCTATGGCGCGCTATTAAGGTTTGAATGTGAGGATTTGTGGAAGATTTGTACGGACAATTCAAGTTACTGTTACTATGTGAACTGTGGCTGTCTTTCATATCGAAGTGTGGACTCTGAGAGAGATGGAAGCGATCAACTTTTAGAGAGACTGTGCGCCTCTGTGTGTGTGTGAAAGAGAGAGAGAGAGAGAGAGAGAGAGAGAGAGAGAGAGAGCTATGGATGTTTCCGAGTAGTGATACCAGGCAGTGATCAAAATTCCGTGCGAAATGGTGGTCGAAATGTTTTTGTTTTTCAGAGGACCAAAACAACGGTGATGAACTCGAATTCTCGATATTTTGAAGTTTTTCGTAGGGAAATAACATGCAATCAAAAATATTTTTATCAAATTGGAGTTTNAAAACAACGGTGATGAACTCGAATTCTCGATATTTTGAAGTTTTTCGTAGGGAAATATCATGCAACCAAAAATATTTTTATCAAATGAGTTTGGAGTTCCAAATTATTCTCCGACCCACTAAATATTGATCAAAATATTTTTGATTGGATATAGAGTTGATAACTCATATTTTTTGCTAAAAGTTTTGAGAAGTATAATATTACTCGTTTTTGTAATGTTTTGAAGTCTTTTGACATATTTTGATTAATATTTTAAAATTTTGATTCGTTTTCATATTCTTTTTAAAATATTTTCATTTTCTAAGGAATTAATTATAGTTTGCACTCTAAAAGATGCTCAAATTTTCAATTTATACCCTAAAATATAAGGATTCTCAATTTGTATCCTAAATATGTCAAAAACAATGCAATGTGCACCAGTCACAAATGTATGTTTGATTTATCGCCTGAAAACCCAGCACACAACTTGCATGGATTTAATTGTAAAAACACACAACTTTGGGTGCCAAATCAATGTTGACTTACCTTCCTCTTCGTATAAGAGGTGGTTGACTGGTCGGTGTTGTATGAGGGAAGAAGATGAAGGAAAAGCTGGAAGAAAAAAGAGGAAAAAAAAGATAACAAATAGACCTAAAAATAGAATGGGTCTACTACTGTGGCTGAAAGGTAATAATGAAGATCTCATGAACAGACCTAAATTTTAGGAGGAGGTTTAAGGTTTGTGATAATTATGCAATATAACTTCACATCCCATTAGAGATATGTATGTTCAATTTATCGTTTGAAAATCCAGCACACAACTTGCATGGATCGAATTGTAAAAACACACGACTTTGGTTGTCAAATTGATGTTGGCTTACCTTCCTCTTCGTATAAGAGGTGGTTGACTGGTCGAAGAAGGTTTGCTATACGAGGGAAGAAGATGAAGGAAAAGCTAGAAGAAAAAAGAGGAAGAAAAAGATAACAAATAGACCTGAAAATGGAATGGATCTACTACTGTGGTCCGAAGGATAATAATGAAAACCTCATGAATAGACCTAAATCCTAGGAGGAGGTTTAAGGTTTGCGATAATTATGCAGTATAATTTCACATCCCATTAAAAATTTAGTAATACTAGCAATGTATCACGTACATTATACGTGAATAATTTTTGTATATAAAATATTAATAAAAAAAGTATTATGTCTATGTGATTTATTCGATTTCGAAGGGGTGTCTGAGAGAGAGGGGGAGGGAGAGAAATAAGATAAAAGGTTTTCAAACTGGATGATGAGAGAGAGAAGTTAAAAGATTTTTCAATTGGTTTGTATGGTGGTAGGAGGATTTTTTGTCCCGTTTTCTCAGAGAGAGAACTTGTTAGAAAACAAGGTTAAATAAAAGAAGATTAAGAGATACAATTATTTAGCGGAGAATAGGAAAAGGTGGGAAAGTATATTATTATGTTATAAATGATGTTATAAAACATAGTTAATACATAATGGAAGAGTCATGATTCTCTGTTTACTTAATTTTTTTAATAATATTTAATATCAATGTACATATTATACTGATTTTTTTATTTGATCTGTGCATATAATTATGATTTATAATTATCTTATTCTATAGTTCTTCATTGAAATCTATGATTTTTGGTCCCTAAAATATTCAATTATTGTTTAAATGATCCCTAATCAAATAGTTTATTAAGTTTTTTAACGAAAGTGACCATATTTCATTCCATCAAACAATATTACGTGATCAATACGTGATCACTTCTGTCAAAAATTTAACAGATTGTTTGTGTATGAATCATTTAAACATTAATTAAATGCTTTAGGGACCAAATTGATAAAAGTGATACAATGAAGACCAAACTATCAAAACAGACATATTTCAAAGACTAAAAGTACTATTTACTCTAAATTATAATATATTACTCTATAATATATATTTTAAAAGAATAATAAAAATTTAAAATTCAAGTTTTACTTTAAAATATACTATAATTTTTTATATATAAACTTTTAATAAAACATGAAAAGGTTACAGTGATTGAAAAATTATGTTGATTTAGTATAAATTATTTTAAAAAATAAGTAAAAGATTATTTTTTATCTTAAAAATAAACGGTAAAAATTTTGGATAAAAAAAAACATATGTAAGCATAATATTATCTTTCTATTTGAAATTAATCATATTATATTAATGAAGTTTTTGAAGATTTTTTTGAACATTTTATTGAAAATTATTGTGATATATATATGTTTTAAAGGTAACATAGTCAATTAAAAAGTTTCATAGATATTGATATTTATACATAACAAATAGAAAATTAAAAGAGATATCAAAGATAATTTGGAGATTCAAACACATAAATGTATTATGGTAATTTAGATATTCAATTACAGAAGGATAGTGCGGTATTTAAAATTCTTTATAAGAGTAAAATAGTGAATCAAAAAATTTCATGCTAAGGCAAAAGTTTTATTCTTTATTAGTAGTATAGATGGAAAAAAATACATATAAATATGCATAATGTTATCTTTATTTTTGGAAAAAGTAATGAAATATTGAAGAAGTTTTTGAACACTTTATTAGTAGTATAGATATGATAGAGAATTAAAAGAGATATTAGAGGANCAAAACCAACAAATTCTCCAACTAATGTTCGCCTTAGGAGAAATCATAGTCCAGCCTATAGGAAGGGAGACACCACAACCTGTCCACCCATGGCACCACCTAGCGTGGAGTCCAGTGCTAAGGCATCCCCATGTAGTGCCTAGGCACCCCCCACCAGGGAGTTCCTCCTCAGCGCCCAGGTGCCCCACATGCTTCTCTTCCTCATGTCCCTATTCCATCCGTTGCCAACCCTTTGCGTAGGAGGNAAATTTAAATACATAAAGATGTAATTGTAATTTAGATATTTGACTATGACAAGATAGGATGGGAATTTAAATTTTTAATAAGGGTAAAATTGTGAATTAAAAGTTTTTCACTTAAGGTATTTTTATTAGTAGTATAAATAGATAGATATAGATTCTTACAATTGATGAAAGTAGATGTGCATTCAAACCATTTTCATTCACCCATTTTTCACACATTATAGATTATGCTTATTCTATTTCAGCTAATTTTTCCTTTTTTTTTGAAAGTTTCTTTGCACAATTTTATGAAAAACTGTAATTATAAATATTTTTCACAAAAACTTGTATTTTAAACAAATATTTGTATTTTGCACATGTAGGAAGATGGTCCATGTGATTACTTTGCCTGGGTTGATCCACCTATGTGTATTTGAGCACAACCTACATCTCCTAATTTATTTGTGCATGTGTAACACATAATCCCTTAACTGACGAGCCAAGATCTAGCTGGGCTCAAGCCTGATTAGTGGGTTAGGCCCAATTAGCTAAAAAAGTAGGTCAAGCTCAGCTAATGGCCTCAGCCCAGTACAAAGTCCAAGAGACTCAGGAAGAT